CCGGGCGGAGGGCCGCCTGGACTCGGGGCAGGTAGGTGCCTGGCGGGGCGGAGGCCGAGCGGCCCGCGGAGAGCGGCCGCGGTAGGTGGGTTTCCCTCGGGGACGGAGCCGCGGGCCCGTCGGGTGGCGGAGATCGCGCGCGTCCCGCTCGCCCTTTCCTGTGCCCTTTCAAGGTTGACGCAGTGCCTTGAGAGGCCAACACAGAAGGGTAGAGGAAGCCTCCATGAAACCCGGAGAGGGGCCGAACCTCCTCCCCGGATCCTGTCTGGAGTCACAGCTGAGCCAGAGGAGCGTGCTGTCGGGGCCGCTGCGGTGTGAGGACGGGGTGGGCTTGAGGTTAGCCTGGGCTTCCGCGTCTTGTGGCCAGCACTGTAGCTGGGTCTGGGGTACCGCGTGTCTCCATCACCTGCTGCCCTTGGGCTTGCTTTCAAGACCTAGAAACAGGGAAGGCTAGAACGTGTACCTAAGGCTTTCCTAGAACGCATTGAGACACCTGAGAAACGTACATCAGTGTCCTCTGCTTGTGCAAAGGGTGCTCTTAAAGCTGCTCATTGTTTTTGCAGGTTGAACGCTGCCAGTACAAGCCAGTGAAAGTGGGGTGCGCGCCGCTGGTGTTCCCGCCGGTACCGGTTGTCACTGTAGTTGCAACAGGAAGGTGCCTCTGATGAGGTGAGATACCCTTAAGTGTGCCTGGTGTGGTTAAGAAAGCAGGGAGTGTTGTTGGATGGCGTTTGGCCGTCCAGAAGGCAGGGATCTTCGGTAGAAGAGCACGTGGAACCTTAGTAACAGTGTGACAAGTGCCAACTCGCTTGGGCAGTCAGTGTGAGCTCCAGTGGAGAGGACTGTTGTACAGTGGCATAAATGATGGATCATGAACAGCGCATTAACATGAAGTTTTGTTTCAAACTGCAAAAAAGCGCTAAAGAAACCCATGAAATGTTGAAATTAGTGTACGGCGATGCTGCAGTGACCAGGAAGACGGTCTACAAGTGGTTTGAGCGATTTCGTAAGGGCTGTGAGTCTGTTAACGACGAGGAGAGATCCGGACGCCCTTCAACGTCAAAAACCCGAGAGAACGTTGAGAGAGTGAGCGAAATGATTCGATCGAACAAGCGATTGACTATTAGGAAAATTTCTGAGGATTTGAACATCTCTTACGGTACCGTGCAGAGCATTTTAACAACAGATTTGAACATGAGGCGAGTGAGTCCGAAATGTATCCATACACAGCCACAGGAGTTAGAGCAGTAAGACAGTGCCGGTGGTGACAGGGCAGCATTCCCTTCCATGTAACTCTTACTGACAGAGGTAGGTACTGTTCTCCCGTGTTATCGAGGAAGAATGGTCAGTAGGGAACTCCGGTTCCCCTACCTGTGAGTAGCTCCGAGCAGGGGGCCTCCGATGTGTAACTTTGTAGCTGTGAGTAATGTGATGCCTTGACATTTAATGTCTCTGTAGCAGAAAAAAATTTAGATTAATCCAGTTTGCGGGGAGCAAAACCACAGAGCTGTTAAGGATATAAGCTCTTCAGAGTATTTAATTGCACTGAACCTAGTTTCCCAAAATTTGGACCAAAAGGAGCATCTGTCAGCATGTTAATTTTCTGTATGTATGTGGTATAATAAGTTGTAAAACGGGTTGAAAGGACACAGTAGATTGAGACATCTAAGTATCAGGTGGAAGTTTCCTGATGGAAGAAGTGAAAGTCTGGTAAGATGCCCAGCCCTCTGCGAGTTCATTCCTTGTACTCCCGTCTGCACGTCCAGCAATTTGAGGGTTTTTCCCCATTAAACTGTATGCCAATTACATATAATGCATTTTCCAGAAACTTTGAATAAAGGTATTTTATATTTATTTTGTGTCCTTAATGCTTACTCTGTAACATTGTTCTGGCCTTTTCTAGTTAAACTTAATTTCTATCCCTTACATACTCTGAAACCCATCTTCAGTTTGTTCAGCAAATGTTGCGTGTTGTGGTTGGTGGGACCAGTATGGTGGGAAGGCGTTTGCCCTTTGACAGGCCAGCGGAGGAAGAGCTCTGAAAACACAAGACCTCACATACATAGTTGGGGGAGGAAGGTCTCAGGGAAAGGG